AAAATATCAATTAAAACATATTTAAGCCCTGGCCGGTTTGGCTCAGGGGTTAGAGTGTTGGCCTGCGGTCCAGAGAGACCCAGGTTCGGTTCCCACTAAGGGCACGTACCTCGGTGGCAGTTTGTCCCTGGCCCTGGATAGGTCGTGCGGGTGGCAACCACTCGGTGTCCCTTTCATGTCGATGTTTCTCTCTCTCTCTCTCTCTCTCTCTCTTTCTCTCTCTCCCTCCCACTCTATCTGAACAAAAAATGGAAAAATGTCCTCGGGTGAGGATAAGAAAAATATATATATATTTAAAATAAATAAATATAATAAAGTGTTTGGGTAGACAGGTTAGACCAGCAGTTCCCAACTTGTGGGTTGTGACCCCTTTGGGCATCGAAAGACCCTTTCACAGGGGTCGCCTAAGGCCTTCGGAAAACATATTTCCGATGGACTTAGGAAGGGAGACACCGCTTCTCTATCCGCCTCCAGGCGGGTCCGCCCACATGCAGATACGCCCACACACAACATGAGGAACTGTATTAAAGGGTCACCCATTAGGAAGGCTGAGAACCACTGGGTTAGAAAGTGACCAGTGCTGTGGAGGGAAGAACAGGGGCATTGGTTAAAGGAGAATAAAGGAAAGGGGAAAGCAGGTGTCCAAGCTGGGCCCAGAGATGTTAGAGAGAGCGTCTGTTTCCTGAGTGTTTCCTCCTTGCCAGACATTAGAACCCCACTTCATGTGCATCCCCTGATTTAATAATGAACGTCTGGGAGATAATTAGAATTATCCCCACTTGACAGGTGAGGAGACTAAGGCTCATAGGGGTTAAGAAATTTGTCAAGCAGAATTGGAATTTAAATTCATAATTATCTGATGCCAGAGCCCATGCTTTTAACCACTCTGTCTTAATACCGCACTGAAAGGAGGGTGGTGGGAGACACTGCAAGCAGAGAAAAACAGCCTGAGCAATGGCACGAGGGCTTTCAATGACATAATGCCTCATTCTGGTGACTGAGTGTTCTCCCGTGGGGCTGTCAAGGGCAGTGTTTATAGATGACACTAAAACAATCCATTGGGACTGAACCATTAATGGCTTTTATACCATGTTCAAGTTAGACCTCATGAGAGGCTTCGACATGAAGATACTAGAAACAAAAAGAAAAAGATTATCCTCTCTTCAAAACCGCCGTGCATTCAGGCTGGGAAAGATATGTATGGACTTGATTTCTGTAGCTGAATAAATTCACAATAGAACTAGAGAAGACCAGAACAATGTTAGAGGAAGAACAAGGGCTCTTCGGTGTGAAAGGCAAGGGCAAAGGGGGAGTCCTTGAAGGCTGTCATTTCACAGACAGCAAGGTGAGGAGGAATATGATCAGAAGTCTCTACTGCAATCAGAGACCATTCTGCATTTTGAGTAAGACTGGGTGGTCCAAAAACCTCCAGCTGCCTGCCACGCCCACAGGCCTTGCTCTGGAAAGCCTTGCTTTGCACCTGTTATCATCCTGCCAAAGGCAATAGGGCCAGGAATCTGCCAAAGACAGCCACATAAGGGAGCCGAGGGGTCTTGTCATGAGACCCCCTACCCAACGAGGGACAGTGGGAAAGGGGTGTGTCCATACGGTGGAGTGGCAAATAGACCCAATCATAGTCTCTCCTGGGATGTTTTTAATTAAGATGAACCAAAAGAGAGCAGCATCAGAAAGCAGAAACAGAAGTAAAGACCAAGTTAGCATTTGGTAGTAACACAAGAAGTAAATTTTCCTTTAATGACCTGAGCAAATGTAGCAAATAGTTAAGAGCACACATTCCACTCCTTGGGTTCAAATACACTTACCAGCTCTGTGACCTTGGATGACTTCCTTAGCCTCTCTCAGTCTCATTTTGCACATATAGAAAAAATGAGAGAGCCTGCCTCATGGCCTGTTCTGCAGTGTATGAGATCATTTATATCAAGTGCTTAGGGTAGTCCTTGCCATACGGTTAGTGCTTGGTGGCTGTTATTTTATTATATTCTGAAGGAAAAAAATATATATTTATGTTCTCCACCAAGTCTGCCAGTGAGCTGTTGGGACTGATTCCTGGGTTTCCTTTGTCTTTCATAAAGCCTTACATTAAATCCCTAGGTCCCTTCCTTTGAAATCTCAAAGAGGCCAACAGTAAGCTTAGAAGTGAAAAGATAAAATAGAGAACAAGAGGACACAAGTTGATAACAAAAACACACTTTCTAAAAGGTTAGATTAACTCATGGAGAATAAAGTCATGATTGATTACTAAAGGAAATCAGAACATGTTGGGTTTTGTCACTAACCTTTGAAGTTGACATCAAGGACAATAACTGCAGCCTTCCACCTATCCTTGAGTTTCTCTGCCAATGACAATATTGGGCTTAATGAACCATGGTTCTGATGAGATGTGACAATTTTTGTTCTTGTGTATGTAAGTACTTAATCATCACATCTCACAATACTAAAACCTCTTGAAGCTTGAAAGAGATTTAGGACTGATAAATTACAGTTATTATAATGCATTCTGGCTGCATTCTGCTATAGGATTTGCAAACACTTTCAAGTACATTATCTCATTTGATTCTCACAATAGCTCTGTGAGGTAGGCAGGTAGTAGGGTAGGCAGGTGCAGGGTAGGGAACCTCCATTTGGGAGGCTCAGGGAGATGAAGGACTGCCTTGAGTTCATATCGCTATTAACAAGTAAAAGTGAATTCAAACTCGGATCTTGGAACTCGCAGGCCCATGCTGCTTTTACTAAAGGAATGGGAAGTTTGCAACTTAACATCCTCAGAGGTAGATCAGGCTTAACTGTAGTGTCAAGAAGGGGTCAGGTGAGAAATAAACATGTCACACGAGAGGTGGCACTCCCCATGCCCATGGCATACTTTGCTTGTCAGACCCAGAATTCTCTACTGCTTATCCTGGGGCTGGCTTCAAAATCTTCCTAACACCGTACTCCGGGGAGCTACTAAAAGATCAGAGCAGATACGTGATTTTAAATTTATATTTTTGAAAAGAAGGTCCATGGGGCGTATTCAAGGACGCTGGATGCTTGCCAATACTCATGTCAGTCTCTTTCTCCTGGGCACATTTTCCTGCTTCCCTTGCAGTTAGATGAGGCCATGGGGTAGGTTCTGTAATGCATCATGAGTGGAAGTAGGCAATTCCACCCCGAGCAACTCACCCTCTGCTTTGAACTGCAATTAGAGAAATAAGGCTGCACTGAGGCCACCATGACTTGGGAACTTGTGTTCAGCAGTTCATCTACCAAGGGTGGGGAACATCCAGCCTGCAGGCCATATAAAACCTGTGACATCAATACTACCTAACATCACACACCTCACCATATTAGCCTGACCAAATATCGCGGGCTAATTTTTAAGTTGATCATTTTTTTTTAATCCTCACCTGAGGACATTTTTGCATTTATCTTCAGACAGAGCAGGAGAAAGGGAGGAAGAGAGAGAGAGAAACATCGACATGAGAAAGACACATCGACTGGCTGCCACCCACATGACCCCAACTGGGACCAGGGACAAACTGCAACCAAGGTATGTGCCCTTAGCGGGAACCGAACCTGGGACTCTCTGGTCTGCGGGCCGGCACTCTAACCACTGAGCTAAACCAGCCAGGGCTTAAGTTGATTATATTTTTATGGCCCATGAATGATGTTATAAATATCAAAATGGCCCTTGGCAAAAAAAAAAAAAGTTCCCCACCCATGATGTACACACACTAGTAAAGGTTCACTTCTTGCGATTGTGCCCTTGAATCCTCTTTTGGTGTCATTCTCAGAGGCAATGCTGGACTAGGTGGTCTCCTCACACATTTCCTACTTTCAGGTTTTAAAGACCTCGGGAATGTACACTATGGTGGACTTATTTTTTTTCTTTTTGCTCCTCAGTATACCCTTCCCATTTGGGAGAAATCCCTAGTTGGGTGGCTTTGTCAGGACCACGGGAGTCTAAGGATCAGCTACCCCCTCATTCCATCCCATGCAAATCAGAGTCTGGACACTTGACTTAGATTCTTCCAACGGAATGTTGATACCTGGGATACTAAATGTTAAGCAAATGAAGCAAGGAGAGTTGATAAATCAATCTCGGAAGCCACACACTGAATCCAGTTTGACTGGTGTCCTGCATCTCGCATTGCTCTGGTTCTTACCCATCTTTCCAAGCCTGATTCCCCAGGTCAAGTAGACTCGGTGAGGTACTTACCACCTGTCCACTAAACTCCCTTTCTGCTTTGGTTAGCCAGAGTCTGCTTCTACTGCTTGTACTGTGTGTTCATGTGTAAGTGCATGTATACGTATGCACACAACACGGGAATATTCCAGCAGCAACAGTAAGAGTTCTTTGCCAGGGCAATCTTTCCAACATAAGATTTTTTCATAACCTTCTCCTGTTTCAAAAGATTCACTGATTCTCTTTCTCAATACAGAATCCCACACATTTCAGTATATCACCCCAGAACGTTTACCTTTCTTGTTTCACTCTTCTACCAGGTGCTCCTGGGCTCACCATTTCTCCACATCGTTGTATTCACTGTGTACTTGGCCTGTTGTGCCTTTTCCGTTCTTGGCCTCTTGGCAAGTTCCTGCTTATCTTACATGTTCTAGCTCAAGAATGATCGCCATGAAACAGAGTTTAATGACTTGTCCTCTAGCACTATGTGTACTTGTTTTATAGCTCTGTTACACTTATTGTCATTATTCACAAGTTTGTCTTTAGTAGGTAATAAACTCCTTGAGGACAGCGTCTGTCTGGTCATCTGTCACAACCTGGGACACTTCTTGGCACATAGAAGATGCTCGTAGGTGTTTGTTGACTAAACATGACCTGATGTCTGTAAAGCTCTGATATCAGCAGAAGAATCATTCCAGAAGAAGCACAATAAAGACTGTGCATTATTCCAGCCCAGAGCTCCCCAGAGGCGGTTTAGAAGACAAAGAAACACTAGCTATGTTGAAACAATGTTTAATGTTTAAAATTTAAGAGTGCACACAATACATGTTTTAGCAGTAGAAGAATGAAAATGTGTGTATGATGTTTAATAAAATTGACATTACAAAACAAGACCATATTAAGAAAACCTTAAAAGTAGAAGTAAACATTTAGGTAAAAACCAAATAAACAACATGCTCAGGGATATGATGTAAAAATCCTAATAAATGTAGTTGCCTAAATCTAGACTTGAGACATTGAGATTTACTTTGTCACTTAAAAAAAAAAAAAAGCAGAATGCCCTTCATTTAAAATACATTTAAAAAATGTTTGCACATTGTTTTCCTGCTGGCAACTGCAGTATAATCAAGTATATAAGAATACCTGCTGAATTCCAATCTGATCATTAAGAAGTGCACCTGGTCTTCCTGTTAAGTATACAGTTCACCTCAGAAAGCAACCACAAAAATCACACAGTACATTACTTTGCTATGTTAGACCTCCCCTGTCGCCCATGCTCCAAAGTGAACACAGCTGAAAAGTCCTTCAATTTAAGAGAAAATGAAAACAAAAACCTTCAGCACCTTATGGTTTCTAAGCATAGAAGAGCATGGGCAGAATGGAAATACAGGAAGAGGGGACAGTAAGACCAATGATGTGCTCTTCAGTCAATTTCCACTTAGACATGCCTGCTTAAATAGGTTTACATATCAGTCATTGTGAGAAAAACAACTGGCTTTTTAAAACTTTCCTCAAATTTTGGCAAAGCCCTCCAAAATGTGAAGATTGGAGATCATTTATTCTCACAATCACTTCCTAGAACTTCGTTAAATAAAGAAGTAGCACCAGCATGGTGGAGGTCATGGTGAGGAAAAGGGGGCGAGGAAGAACGAACTTTCAGCTGCATACAGACTCTTCCCCAGCAACCGACGAGGGTTCGGTGAATCCTTAGGAAACAAAACAGTAACAAATGTGTTTTATGCAAATAAAGCACTTTCTGGACCCAGTCGGCCCAAACTGTAATGTTTCCCTTAACACTTCAAAAGAAGTATGTAATTCCAGGACAAGCAGGTTTCTCTAAGGACAGCCAGTGCCAGCTTGGCAAAGTGATTTCATGCTCGAGAATGTCAAGAAGAGCACCTAGGTCATAGCAGGGTAAGAATCTAATCAGCACAGAAGGCATTTGCTAGCAAGTTATGTGGTTCTAAAACAGCCAAAGTTCAAACACTTCTTTTTTGTGAGCTTCACTGAGAATGGGGATCTCCTGGCATATCGTTTTATTGTTAAGCTTCCCTTCTTCTTACAAGTAGACCAATTCAAACCATTCCTGCCTTATGTAAAAATATTAAAATCTTATATAAACCTTACAATGGCCTGAGAAATGCAAAGACATTCACTAAGAGATTTGTGCAAAAATTGTTTCTCTCAGAGAGCTGGATATATTGCAATAAAAAACCAACCTCCAGAATGAAATTTAGAAGGGATTTGTTTCTATTTTCACTAAATAAACAAGGAAGGTTTTATCTAAATTTGCATATAGCTTTAAAATATATTTAATCAATTTAAATTCTACACAAATACTGACAATTGGTATTATAAAATGTGAACTGGAGCATTTGAGGAATTTCAGGACTTACTATGTAAGTTTCTATTACACAATTAAAATTTCATTGTACATGTCTTGCTTGATTTATTTTTTTTCATTGTACACTTCAAATACAATTCTGCTTACTTTACATCATGTATTCAGAACATCAATCCCCTTGGTTATTCTCATAACTTTCAACCCTTTAAGTTGTACCAAAATTAAAAACCATTAGATTTGATAGTAACAAGTGAGGAAATACAACTCCTTAAGGGTTGAATAGATAAGCTAGATATAAATGCTTAAGAAAACCCAAGTATTATATAGGTAATATAATTCATTACATTGCTTTCTGTTCATGAAAAACATCTCTTTTGCACTTGAAAATGATACACGAATAGGGCCTATATGATGTGCATGTCTTCTGCAATTCTAACATTACTGGGTTACACAGACCCGGGCTAACACTGCACCACGACCAGGACTGAGAAGGTGCCACCTCTGTAAAGCCATCCATGGAAACAGATTCCATACCAAAATGTGGGTTTCTAATCTCTTATCCAGTGTCAGTTCCTCTTTAGTTAGCAGACGATGAAGCATCTGCCTTCCCCATGGCTTCTTCACTGAAGAGCAGCTTTCGAAGTATATTTGCATAAAATGGTCCATACACTTGTTTGTTGAGATTCACAATGTTAGCATATTGAGAACCTAGCACTTCCAGCTCCTGCTGAATGACAGCAAGTCCTCCAGGCATGGGAGGCAGGCATTTCTGAGGGCTTGGAAGACAGAGCAGGCTCTTCAGGTACAGCTGGATTCGTTTATCTGGGGAAAAACACGGTATCTTTATCTGTCCCATTATTAAAGCACGTAATTTTTTAAAATGAGAATAATAATTATGGTACGTGGGTTATAATAATATTCCCAATTCTTTACCCTCTGTGTATCCATACCCTGTACAAGGTAGCTTTGCAGCTCTTCCCATCACAGGCTGGAATCTGTTTCGCCATGCCTTGAATTGGGGCTGGCCTTATGTTCCTTTGGCCAATACAGAATACAGCAGAAGTGCAGGTATGTAGTTCCATGAAGAGGCTTGAAGAGGCACAGGTCGCATCTGCCCTCTCTACATACCATGTGAACAAGCCTGGGCCTGATGAAAGACTGCATGGAGGGAAGCCCAGCTCTTCTTTCTGAGGCCATCCTAGATCAACCTATAGCCAATCAACTCGCAAACACTTGAGAGAGCCTAGCCAAGATCAGCAGGACTACCTACCCGAGCTGACCACAAATGCATGTGTGAGCCCAGCAAGACCACGAGAACTACCTAGCTGCCCCAAAGACTTGTGAGCAATACTAAATGTTTGCTTTTTGTTTTTAAGCTATGGAGTCTGAGGGTAACTTGTTATATAGCAATAGCTAACTGATTAAAAATGCAGAACACTTTTGGGGTAGGATAGGGAATCTTTTATGAAAAAACTCAATACTTAATGCCCATAATTTTAGTTATGTAAACTAAAGCTGAGTTTCTAAATTGGCACTTCCAGTTTGGTATTTTAAAAAAAATAAAACCACTTAAATCAGGGGAATTCATATAGAAATCCAAATTTCTGGTTCTTCTTGAAAATCTAGAGATCTAGAAAACTTAGGGGTCCAAATTACCGCATGGCAAGGGTGACCACACGTCCAGGTTTTCCCAGGACAGCTGGAGTTTAAACCTGTTGTCTTGGCATGATTAAAAAGAGCATTCTCAAATGTCCTGGTTTGGACAATAAATTACATGTTCACCCCCAGATGGCAACACTCTGAAGGCACCGAGGAAGTGCGGCCCCAACCGGCACTCCAGTTTGCCATCTTCTTCACCTTTTCTGCTTCACGGATTAACGAATCTGCATTTGAGACGACTTCACGAAAGCAAGCAAATGTGTAAATAAATCAGGCTGTAGAAGTATTGGACAAATAGTGCTGGACAAACCAGACTTGCTACAGCTCATGCTGTTCCCAGGACTTTCTTTGGCCTTGCAAACAGAAATCTTACAAATAAGATGTACTAAGGAGAATAAACTTCATCAAATACAGACAACTATGACATTAATGAAATTCTTATCTCCAAACACTTCTCCCAAAAGTCAGACATTCCAGCCAGATCTGACCTAGAACTCCAAGTTCCCAGTAGCCCATGTCCATGTCTTAGCCAGAATTGCTTCCTCTTAGTAGGATGTTCTTCCATCTCACCTCATCTCTGCCCCAAGTTGAAAGCACCCCTTAATGACAAGCCTAAAGTTACCTCCTCCTGTGCCTTTCCCTAAAATCTGTCAGATTATCACATCATATTATTATTATTTGAGAGTGTGTGTCTCTCTCCCTGCTTAGGTGAGCTCTGAGGGTGAGGGCTACTACTCTTTTATCTTGATAGCCCTGGTCTGGCATATGGCAGGCAGGTCACAAATGCTGACTGAACTGAAGTGAAAATGGAATGAAAAAAATCTATAAAGATCAATGCCAAACAGAAAACAATGGGAGTCAGAGAGGAATAGAGGCTGGGAAAGGTCAAAGATAACTTGGGCCTTGTCCGTAATTTGTTAATAAGAAGGAATTATTCATGTACGTTATCACCTGCACAACTGAAAATTACTTTTAAAAAATGCAGATGGCTATAATCTACAAAGTAGATAATTTGCAAATAATATGTACCTGGTTTTGGTATGCATTTGAAAATAACTGGCTTGAAAGAAAACTTTTCTAATTATGTTTTTAAAAGTCTAAGAACACAGTGGGAGTTGTAATCGCATTGTAAATAAATAGCACATCGACTAGGAACAAAGGCAGGCAGACCACGAGGGGTACTGTGCGCAGGGGAGGAAAACCACGGCTGAAGCTGGTCAAGTCCTTTTTATGTCCTTTAAGTGCTTCATTTATTCCAACTCCTCTGTGGGCAGAAAATTAAGAATCAATTGTGTACTAAATTTCCCGTTAGACTGGTTGCCTGACTCTCCGGAGCCCAGGTCTATTTTCATCACAGGTATGTTCCAAACAGTTTCCAGCAAGATTGTTTAAAGGATAAAACTCTTTCAAAACTGTTGTTATGCTGAGAAGTGGTTCTGTCTCCTCTGTGGACGAGTCCGTTTTTAGGCCAAGACTAAAATGACAGAAGCATTTATCCAGTTAGGAGCAGCCAAATTGAGTCCCTGCCAAAGGCGTGCCCTTGGCTTCCAGAGTCGAAGGAGAGCCGCTCAAGTGAGTCATTCAAGTTGCTAGGCAACAATACTTTGAATGAGGTTAAAAAATGCTTAAATTTTCAAAAGAACAGGTAAATTGGACTGGGGAGAGAAGGGTGGAAGAAAGCTGCTTTACCAGATTATAAGCGGCCACCCCAGGGTGGGGGCATCTCCTGGGCCCCAGCTTCCCTCTCCCTTACGGCACTGCAAGTACTTCCCTTAACTAAAGCAAGGGCACACAGAGGGCACTTGGATGCTCCAGCCACCCTGCTAACAAGCAGCAGGGCTTCGGCTCTGACCGGAGCAGTTAAGAATGTGAGCTCCTGAGTCAGACAGGCTCAGTAAGACTCCCTGCTCTGCAACTGGCTAGTTGTGTGACCTTGCGGGAGAGCCATTTAACCACTGGCTCTGCTGCATTTGAAATAAGTTATCACCCTTCCCACAAGTATTTACTAAATGTCATCTATGGCTCAGCATGGTACAAGGATACAACAGTGAACAAACATGTACCCCACTCTCATGAGGCATGCACACTAGTGGGGGACCAGCGGTAGGTGGCAGGGACTGCAGAATGGCCCTCTTCCTCCGAGGAGCACCGTCTCCCTGGTGTCAGCTCTTCAGCTGGAGACTATGGCTGTGTGGACAGACTGGTCACCAGTGAAGGTTATGCAGTGGAGGGCTTGGCCGCAGGCGGCTGTGGTCATGCTGTGCTTGTTACTGTGATCAACTGCCCCCTCTCAGCAGCCCGCAGTGCTGCACGCCAGACTGCTCTTTTCTGGGGGAGGGGTTGAAGCCTTGAGCTTTGAAGTGGCCTGTGTGGCCTAGATCTCCAGCGTTCTGTGTCCCCAGGGATAAGGATGAGAGAAACTATTCAAGAGCCTCAAATAAATAATAGCAAGTATTTGTACTCTTAGGGAAGTCAATGTTGTACTTCAAAAACTTGCAGATTAGTCCCAGAATGTTAGTATATTCTAATTCTACACACACTTCTTCCTTCCCATTTTTCTTACTCTCCATAGTAGACACTGGGTTTGTGCCCCACATCACCTGCTCCCCCTTCTTTTGACCACAGCACCCGATTTTGTTTGGGGAAAACCATCTACCCCCTATTCTCAGACCAGGTATTACAGGTAAAGTGAACCACCCTGGCTCCAGGAACTGAACACATGTCTTGGGACTGATGTTTCTTCCCCTCTGGCCACCAAGACTGAGTCAAGAAGGGGACATAACCTACAGTCAGGCCCACCGGAGCCAATGAGCTACCAAGGAAGCCGACTCCTTGTTTTAAACATGGAAGATGTAGGCTTGAGCTGAAGCTGTCCTGCTGTGTGGGAAGAGAGGACCTGGGAGACAGCCAGCCCAGAGGAAGACGGTGCTGAGGGCTGGAAGTGGGGAAGCCAGAGCTGGGGACACAGTTCGAGCTCTGGTTAAGCTACCGCAGCCAGCCCTACCTCTGGTCTTTTCAGTTACATGAGAAAATGCATTCTCTTTTGCTTAAGCTAGTTTAGATTCTCATTCAACAGGTAACAGAAAATGTCCTAATTGATACAGTCTCCGTTTCCCCAACTTACCAACACAGCTTGACAGCCAGACATTCACTTCTGTAGCAAGTACAACACAAGGCCACCCATGACGCCCACAGGTCCACAGCCCCCGCACTCTTCGTCTCCTTACGCCTGACCGAGAAAAGAGCTTCTGCAGGCGGAGGCTAGCTCACAGCAGAACTGATGTCTGCTTTCTGTGAACATACTGTCAGCTGGTTTTAACATTACCAGCAGCATTTTGTTATTTTCCTCATAAAAAAAATCTATTGGCTGGATAGTATAGACAGAAGGCCCTGAAATACCCTTCACTCCCCTACATCTGCACACAGAAGAAGCAGCACGTCCCAAACCTTTTAAAATATTAATGCTTTCTTCATATTTTCTACATTTATTCCCCCCAAAAAGCAGGTAACCTATTTAAGACTAAATTTTGACTGATGCTTAATATTAGTCAAAACCAGCAAATAGGAATTGAAGAAGAAAACAATAAAAATATGAAGACCCACCAATCAAAGACCGGATAGGATTGTCCTCCTTTTCGATGCTTGAAAATTGACCTACAAGGTTAGCTTGAACCTCAGCATTTAAAGTGGATAAGCCTCTCTCTATCAGGGTCTTGTTAACCTCACCACAAGTCTGAACACCAACAGAATTCAGGACGTCCTTCAAGTTAAAGGTCCTACAAAACAGAAAACAAAATCCCATCAGGGAGAGTTTTTGTCCCTCAGTTTTATTGATGTTGTTTTTTATTATACCAATTCATTTAAAATATTTACCTATTTGTTCTTTCTTTTTTTTTTTTTTATCCTCACCTGAGGATACTTTTTCCATTTATCTTTGGACAGAGTGGGAGGGAGGGAGAGAGAGAGAAACATCAATGTGAGAGAGACACATCGATTGGCTGCCTCCTGAAGGACCCTGACCAGGGCCCGGGAACAAACCAAAACCGAGATACGTGACCCTGACCATAATCCAAACAGTAACTCTTTGGTCTGAGGGCCAACACTCTAATCGCTGAACCAAACCAGCCAGGGCTACCCATTTTTTTCTTATATAGACAACAATTACCTGTATTAGAATGAACTTAGAAAATGGTAACTCCTCCCAATCACCAGCCCTTATTTCCAACAGATTTTCACATGCTTAAAACCGCTCAATTCTGTACCTAGTGTTTATATAGGAAAGCACAGCAGGAAAACGTGGCCCCTAAAAATAAGTCTGCAATCACATTTTCATGCAGGGCTATTAGAAAGGGAAGGAAAATACCTATTCTTAAAATAAACCCTTTGGTCTGAGTGGATTCATTCATAGATTTTTTTTTTTAATAGCTTGGAAAATGAGGTCAAATCAATCCTTTTATCTATGCCTGAGCAGTAAACCTATAACACCAATCAAAACAAGAAATGAAGACATTCAGACATCAATACCATAAAGGCAAATTACCTAAAACTCTTGACCTATCATGACCTAAGATAAAAAGCTCCTTCTCATTGCTACTTTTAAGCAACTGATCGATAATGCAAATATAGAGTTCAGAAAATTGTAAAAAATAATTAGCAGTTGGTTATTTAATAGACAAAAAAAAAAAAAAAAAGAGGTAATTAGAAAGTGTACTTGTTGGGTCTACACTATTGAGGAATACTGCACTATTGAAGAATGACTGAAAGCTGCATCTCACTATACAGAAAGGGTCTTGAAGATAACTGTTCAAAATGGGAATTAAAGGATGAGAGGCCCAATGACAGGAGGCAATGTAATGTAGTGGTTACAACATTAGCTGTGGTGTCACACAGACCTGGGTTCAAATCCTGACTCTAACACTGAACTTGCTTTGTGACTATATTAGCCCTTGGCAGATTGTCAGGCACATAGTAAATGCTTAATAGGAAGAAGAAAAAGAAAAAGACTGGTTATCATTATTATCATCATTAACAACAATAAGAAATAAGTCCTTGGTGTTCTGCCTTGACTGGAATTTGTTATAAATTCACACTGCATCTGCCTTTGGGGTTCTATAAGCCAACATTTTTATGCAACATGATTATTTATGACAAAATTTTTACCTTCTGACTTTTACACAACTTCCTCCTGATTTTAATCATGAGTTCTCAGACTGAAGGAAAAATTAATTTCAGTATAAGCCATGATTTCCTCATCACAATTAATGAGGCAAAATTCTTGCTAGTTTTCAAAATGCATCATCAAACCAAATATAAATGACATCTGGGTCTACGGACTATTTGAAATCACCTGCGCATATATATATATATATATATATATATATATATATATATATAAAATAAATGTTATTACCCCATCCATAATGAAGATAATTGAGAACTGCCTATAATCATTTCCTAACACAGGTTGGGGAGGGGGGTTAAACAACATAATAAAACCACATAGGCAGAACAACTATAAAGAGAATGATTTAACCTAAATGGTTATTAAAAGCTAACATTTCTTGAGCACTTACTATGTGCCAGACACCTGTAAAAGTGTTTCACATGAATCACCTTGAGTTCTCACAACTCCGAGACAGGCACAACTATTATTCCCTTTTTTCAAGAGAGGAAGTGAGGCTCGGGGTGATTCAGGAACTTGTTCAAGGGTACATCCATAAGTCAATAGCAGAGCTGGGATTTAAAAATTTAGACTGAGATCCAAAAACCTGTCCTCTCAGTAGCCACTTTGTTATATGCTTTATATTAGTACTTAAGCAGCACTGGGGGTTCAGTACAAGTTTAAAAAGGGTCTGGAAAATAATGAGTATACTGTGTGGGGAAAGGCTAAGGTAAGACCAATTGCAAAAACAGAGGTTTCTTTTCTTTTTTCTTTTTTAATCCTCATCCGAGGACACAGACAGAGTGGGAGGGAGAGAGGAAGAGAGAGAGAGGGAAACATCGATGTGAAAGGGACACATCGAGTGGTCGCCACCCGCACGACCAACCAGGGCCGGGGACAAACTGCAACCGAGGTACATGCCCTTAGCGGGAACTGAACCCGGGTCTCTCCGGACCGCAGGTGGACACACTAACCGCTGAGCCAAACCGGCCAGGGCCAGAGGTTTCTTTTCATTACAGGTCATGGGTCCTTGAGTGTGAAATAAAGAAGCCTGGTAGGTTAGCATAAGAATTAGTAGAAAGGAAATATTGGGGGGAACACTTTGTAAAGTAATCACTACACATAAAACCAATATAGAACAGTACTGAAAGTAAACTGCAATTGAAAAATAAAAACAAAAACAAACAAAACATCAATGTAGGTTTAACCTTAATAATAATTTTAATATTTAAGATTGGGTTTGTTCAGAGATTATTCTCACAGATCATGACTATGTCAATTACTCTCTAGTACCTTTCATAGTAGTTTTATAACATTACAAAATATTCAGAACGATTAAAAAAAAAATCAGTAGAAAGGACAGGGCCTTGAGACAGCCGGACCAGGGCTCAGGCCCTTTCCCTGCTGTGCAGCCCAAGGCAAATCCTTGAACTTCAGTTCAAAATGGGAACATTGGGTTCCGTTGGCTCTTAATATTCTAGGATTTTATCAAGTAATTTAAGTACTCTTTGAGTAATAGGCAGGAGTATGGGAAAATAGGTGCATCTCCCTGCCTTCAATGAGAGTAACAGAGTATGTATTCCTAAAAACACCTACAAGGGAAACCAACCAGCAGGAGGCGCTTAACCCATATGAAACCCATGGGAACATGTGGTCATGGACTAAGTAAGATTAGGAATTTTCTGACTTTCCAGCAGGATGACCTAAATGCAAAATCTCAATGGAATTCTTGTGTTCGATAAAGGTGTGATACTGGGAAATGAATTTCACAAAAACAAAACCTTCAATGAACTTGTGTAACATCCCTAAAGGACAGAGAGGTCACTACTTCTAAAGACCTCATAGCACGTGGATCAGAAAAAGTTGGCAAACATTTCATTACAGAAAAATGATGGTGTAAAAGCTACTTAATCTGGAAAGCTTCTTTGATGGGGCTTTGTAAACACTGAGCTTGGTGGATTTCTGGGTTTTGTTTGTTTTTTTCCACAGCACTGTCAAAGAAGAGCTTTTGCACACACCCATCCTCAGTGGAAATACTACACTCACCCTGGCACTTGTCATGGAAAAGACCTCTTCCTTCCTTTGAAAGGACATCTAAGCCTTCAGTGATATTAAATGAAATTCTAGAAAAAGAAGGTGTGAGATAAGCTTCCCTAAAGCACAGTTCTGAATATCACATCCAGATGTCCAAGGTTATTCACATTCTCTGAAATGCACGCAGAGCCTTAATACAGGGGGAGGAGATGAAAACACTTGGAACTTACTCTTTGTTCATGCCTTCAAGTAGAACAGCTGAAATCCTTTTTAACTTGTCTGCAAGCTCAGGGAGGCCTTCTATAATAGCACCCAACATATTGTTGGTAATGAGGGACAGGCAGGCAATAATTTTCAACTGATTCAGTTTTTCCCTCAGTTCTTGAAGACGTACTTCATCTGTTATCAGTGTCTAGCATATTTATTTAAAATGGAAAAATAGAAAGGGAAGCTCAATATCATAACAAGGTAAAATAAGCAATATTATATCCAAACTCCCACTTTTATCTGATTTCAGTAAAGTCATTAAACCATAGGCGACACAGACCAGCTGATTCACAGTTAGAACTTAAGAATAAAAACAATGGAAAAATTGAAGAAAAAATCACTCACCTCTGGAAGTTCTTTTTTCTGATAATCCCACTGCAACAGTTTCAAATAACTGTTATTTAGCACCAGTGTAGGGCTCAGGCTTGGCTTGGAGCTGTTTTTGGCCCCAGGAGTTAAAGTGGTCTCAGAAACAGCAAGTAATTCTTCATTTACAGACTCTTGTATCCATTTTGTAGTTTTATCAAGAGCACCTACAAGTGAAAAGGCCACACATTTGTCCTACAGCCGATGGATCTCTGCATTTGTGCATTCTTCATGACAGATGTTATGTTAGGTGCTGGGCATGAATGAAGATAGTCATGCCGCTCAAGGAGCTTCGAGTCCAGATGGGGAGACGGACCCATAAAGGAACGGTTACAGCAGAATACAAAGAATACTAGAAGGCACAGTGGGAGTGGAGGGAGCAGAGGATGTCCAGAGCAGAGTATAAGAAAAAGAGCTGTGACACTTGAGGACACAAGGCAGACAGAGGAGAGGGCTGTCACCCCAAGCCAGGAGAACAGCCCATACAAAGACCCAAAAAAGTGAAGAATATGGCACATTTGAATGCTGCAAGCAAATTTGTATTGCTGGTTCATCAAAAACTAGGGGGAAGAGAGTGGCAGCAGATGGCACTGGATGAGTAGACAGGCCAGCTCACACATGACCTTGAGTTTTGTGCAGAGAAGGTATTGAGAATAAAGGCAGTGATTATTAAACATTTTAGACCCCTCTGAGTGTCTAATTAGAGCTATGTCTTTCCCAAAATGCATGTGCACGCTGGTGTGCACACTTTATTTTACTTTAGACCCTTTACTAAGGTTTCCCACTAGAAACAAGTTACTTTTTATACTACATTTCTTATAAAATTATGTATTTGATAGAATTTATAAGGTGGCAATTGCTGAAAAATGCAGACTGAACACAGGTGCAGATTTTTTTTTTAAAGCCAGAGAACAAAATAAAGAATTGTCACCCTGAAATGCTTTCTCAGACTCAGTACTTAAGTGGGGGTAATTTATGAGTAGCTCTGTTTGCCACACTGCAACACCACCCCCCGAATTTCACAATTTGTTTCTACTCAGTTTGCCAATGTTGTTCTTGGTTTTTCTAGTCCTGTGTATAAAGATGTAAAAGACTTACAGTCTTTTATTTAAAAGATATCAGAGAGAGAGAGAGTGTGTGCAGAAATCATCATGGATATAATAACAATGTAGTGTAATAAGCATGTATACTGCAGACATAATCATTTACAGCTGACACATTTAACAGGCCATTTAGTTATTTCAAACAAAAGCAAGAGTGTAGCATAGTGGTTCTCAATCAGGGCTGACTTTAGAATCATCTGGGGAGCTTTAAAAAGAAAAAAATATGATCCTGGGCACAGCTCCTGGAGATTCTGATTTAATCAGTCTGAGATGGGACTCAGGCATCTGTGTTCAAACACCCGGGGTTATCCTAATATGTAGCCAGAATCGAGTACAACTGGTAAAGCAGAAAGAGCATGAGTTTAGAGTGAAACATTGGGTTTTCTCTAAGGGACCTGCTGAATGTGGCTCTAAAAGCAAGGTCAACTCCATGAGGCATCTGTACCCTAGGTCTTTTATGTGGACAGTAATATGAGCCTCTCTATCCACTCATTCATTCAATGGTAACTGGGCACCTACTACACACCAGATATTGTACCCAGTAATGGGCAATCGCAGGTAGTAAATATAGTCCCTGCACTCAATAGTCGACTCAGAGATAGAAACACAAGAGCAGGCAATGTCTTCACAGGTACATCTACCTAAGAAATTTCCCAGGAGCAGTGGAGACCTAAGAGCACTTAACCTGATTTTACTCCCTACCAACACATGCTTCTGATTTCCTGCCAAGAAGGCTTGGCCTAACAAACCCCCAAAACCCTCCCAAACCCCAACCCAGAAACTCTCTGGTTCTCTAAATCCTAATCCTGCCAGTCCTTAGTGGCCCAGCCAAAATCTCTCTTCCTGTAGGAAGCCTTTCTTGATTGTATGGATCTATCCTTATCTCTCCCTTCTCAGAGTACCCACCTTTGAATTTTTGATCTGGCTGTCTTTTCTCTTAAGCAGCTGACCTGAAAAACAGCTTCTCTATTTTTAAAAAATTGTCAATTAACATTTTATGTGCCTTCATCTCACTAGTGAGATCAATGAAGAGTCCAATCTATGATTTTTGTTTCTCTTTCCTTTGACTTAGCTCACAGCAAAACTTGTAAGTGTGTGAAATATTTGGTTTTGTCCTGGCAGGCTCATTTGCTTTGGAAACCAATCAGATATTTTTCTAGTGGTATTTGTCACACAGTAGGTGCTTGTCAAAAAGCCTCCACTCTCTATATGTGGCATGAGAGACCTGGTAGGTTTCCAATTTAGTTCACTGTCTCTAGAGGCAGCAGTGGGCTAAAGACTGGCTCAGTCTCCTTTGAAATGACAAATTGATTTGGTCCTACATGCCTGCATTTCTCTTTCCTTTTCCACTGTCATCTAGTAAAATGTTTACTAATGTACATAGTATATGCAAATCAAACTAAAAGACACAAGGTACTTTTTGCAAACTCTTTCAGAAAGCAGCGGAGGGAACACTTCCCATATTCATTTCATGAGGCCAGCTTTGTCCTGATACCAAAATCAGGCAAAGACATTACAAGAAAAGAAAATTACAAAATCCTTAAGAAAGCATTACCAAAGCAATAAGATTAAGCTAATACACCAGGACCAATGGGTGGGATAAACATCTCAGGACCACAAGGTTGGTTTAACATTAGAAAAAACACAATCACTGTAATTCACTGCATTAATACAATAGAAGGGGGGAGGGAAGCTCACTTTAGTATATGCAGAAAAAGCATGTGACTGAAAATCTTTCAGTCAACTAGAACTAGAAGAAAATGTCCTCAACTCCCCAAAAAGAACATCTATGAGAAGTTGCAGTTAACATTATACTTAATGGTCAACATTCTTCCCCTAGAAAGGTAATGATGCCCTCTCTCATGACTTATATCCAACATTTTGATTGGAGGTCCTAGTTAGAACAATGCAGCAAGAAAAAGAAATAAAAGGCATACAGATTTTTTATGTTTACAGGCAACATGATATATTGTACATATAACAATGCCTGAGAAATGCTCCAGAAAACTACTAGAATTGATAAGTTAATTTAGCAAGGTTTCAGGATGCAAAGGTAATACCCCAAAATCAATCATATTTCTATATGCTAGAAAATAAAAATTTTACAAAATATCATTTATAATAGCATAAAGAAACCAAAATAAATGAGATTAAATTTAACAAAATAAGTACAAGAAACTAAAAAAATACTGAAATTAAAAAATATTGCTGAAATAAATGGAAGAATATTTAAGTGGAGATAGCTAGTTCATAGAGTAATAGACTCCATATTATTAAGGTGTTATTTCAACCTAATTCCAATCACCATCCCAACTGGCATTTTGCAGGTACTGATAAGCTAATAAAAAATGCATATGGAAATTCAAAGAACCTAAAATAGCCAAAACAATTTTGAAAGAAAAAAAAAAAAAACAAAGTTGCAGGACTAACACTGTCTAATTTCAAAATTTAGCCTCAATAATCAGAACAGTGTGGTATTGGCTAAGAGTAGACAAATAGATCAATGGAAAAGAATAGTCCAGTAAAAAGGAATGAAGTACTGATACATGCTACAACATGGGTAAATCTTGAAAACATTATATTAAGTGAAAAAAGCCAGAACCCCAAAAGCCACATGTTATAGGATTCCATTGATATGAAATGTCCAAAATTGGCAAATTCATAGAAACAGAAAGATCAGTGGTTGTCAAGAGCTAAGAGAAGGTAGACATAGGGAGATATAGGGAGATACTGCTAATGCGTATGGGATTTCTTTTTAGGGTGATGAAAATCTTCTAGAATTAAATACTGGAGATAGTTTCATAGCCTTGTGAATATATTAAAACCCGATAAATTATACACATTTAAAAATTAATTGTATGGCATGTAAATTATATCTCAACTTTTAAAAATGAATAAAACTTCATAAATAGACTCATAAATGTATGGTTAATTGATTTTCAACAAGGGTGCCAAAGCAATTCAATGGAGAAAAAGGTAGTCTTTTTCAACAAATGGTGTTGGAATTGGATATACATATGAGAAAATATGAACCTTGAAATATGTTACCTTGAAATGGTTCATAAGCCTAAAACTATAAAACTTCAAAAAGAAAATATCCCCCCCCAAAATCTTCAAGACCTTAGGATATTCAAAGATTTTTATGACAATTTACTGAATGTACAAACCATAAAAGGAAAATTTGATAATTTGAACTTCATCAAAATTTAAAGATTTCCCTACAAAGGATAGTGTTAAGAAAATGAAAAAGGCAAGCCACAGAGGTAGAGAAATTTTCACAACACATAAATCTGACAAAGGACTTGTTTCCAGAACATATAAAAGTTCTTTAATTCAATAGTAAGACAGCTTAATTTAAAAATAGGCAAAAGAGGACTTCCAGTCAAGATAGCAGGTAGGTAAATGCGGTATTGCGTCCTCCCACAACCACATCAAAGTTACAACTAAACTATAGAACAACCATCATTCAGAACCGCCTGAAATCAAGCTGGATGGAAGTCCTACAACTACGGAATTAAAGCAGCAGCAACATCCAGACTGGTAGGAGGGGCGGATGGGCTGGTCCCACACCCACATGTGGCAGATAAAAATCAGGAGGACACCTCGGCTAGGCAGGTCCTCCCTGAGGACTGAGGGGTCCCTGTCCCACACCAGGTGCCCCACTCAGGGTTCCAGTGCCAGGAAGAGAAGTCCCCATAACTTCTGGCTGGAAAAACCAGCAGGAACTGAGGCTCAGGGAGGCTGAGGCGGCTGGAGCCCCAGGCAGCTCCTTAAAGGGCCCGCGCAAGGACTTATCGGACTCACTCCCTCTAAGCTTGGAGGGGCGGCAGCTCCAGGGGTACCAGAGACATACAGGGAAGAACTGAGCTGTTTGGCACTGGAGCGAGGGCTGGAGAGGGGGCTTTCTCCTGGACAAATGTGCTGTCAGAGGCCTTTGTTCCTTTGGTGAGCCCTTCCCAGGGGCGGCAGAAAGCCGCCATATCTGGGACTCCAGCAACCTGGCTCACACTGGTAGCCCCGCCCCACCCAACTTTCAGGCCCACCCAAGCTGTTGCCACTTGCTT